GAAACACCCTCCCCTCCCCTCCCCTCCCCCCCGGCCCCGGTGCGAGCGGGGCCGAAGGCGGCCGGACGTGTCACACGTCTCCCAGCCCCAACTTCGCAGCCGGTTGGCTTTTGGGTTTTTTAGAGTTGAACACTTACTTTTCCTGTCGGATCATGACGTTGCACGCGTGGCTGGTGTAAATGCAGGGCGCGGTGCCGAGTTGCACGTGTGTCTGCTCCAAACGTGTAACCCCGCAGCAGGGAGCGGCCAGTCTCAGCCGGGGACCGTGGCCCCCCCCGGGCACCTCGCCATCCTCTCACAGAGACGCGCACGGTGACACACGCGGACGCGGTTCACGAGATAAGTCCCAAGATTTCAGCTGGAAACCGGGAGTCGTGGTCGGTCCGAGTGGAAGATCAGCTCTGCCGTCCTCTCGGCCAAAAAAGCAAGGAAACGTAGAGCTGGCGTTGTCCAAGGGGGCTCGTGTCCGTCCAGCGGCCCCTCGAGTCCAAACGGGTGGAGTTTGTTGCCGCCAGATGTGGAAGGAGCTGACGCTTTAGCCAGGTTCAAGAAAGGGAATTTAACCCCCCCAAAAATGTCATATGCTAGCCGATGGGTTTTTTTCCTCATGGGCTTGGCCTACAGATTGAAACAGCACTTTTCTGTAGATATGAATGAACCATTAAATTCATTAACCACTAATGCCCCAGGGCCACCTTCTTGGCCATTTATTTCTGTGGCCATGTTTTTTAGTGGGGTAATGCTCGGTTTGGTGCTCATGGAGTCAAGGGGTCAGATACAGATTTGGGACATCTTGCCTTTTGATTGTCCCGATCTCTCGTTAAGCAGGCCAGCATGGCTGGCATTTATGGATCGTAGCTCTCTGAATGGAAACATTCAGGTCATGTTTAGTAATTAAAACTCCTTCCATATGTGCCTAATGACATTTCCTGAGCAAATCAAAAGTTCTAATTTAATTTAGCTTGTTTAGTTGGCAGCCTACAGCACATATCTTTTGCAACGGGAAAGAAAGACCTCCTTTATATAGAGAGCAAAAATATCTATTAAAATGTACTATGCATAACATATTAACTTATTTGTGTGTCTGCGATTTAGAGTTGTTAGCATTTTTTCACTTTTCCCATGCAGATACTTATTTACCCCAAAGTAATGCTTTGGGATAGATACAAAGCCCTGAAAACCAGTACGTCCTAAAGAATGGCCAATGCAACCTTCAACGCTGGTGCATAATACTTTAATATACCAAGAGGCATTATTTTCAGTTATTTCTCCTTCTTTTTCCATCCATGTACATCCCCTGCCGTTTTGGCTCTGCTAACAAGACTTTGAATTTCGAATTAGCTGGCAAAATATTTTTGCTGATCTCATGTTTTGGATTGCGTTGGCATGAAAAGTGTAAATGAAACTTTGCATGAAGTTAACTACAAAAATCAAGCAGAGAAACTTTTAGTTGAGTGCTTCAAAGTGCCGCTAGAGGGTAGCAGAGGTCCATGGAAAGTCTCTGAGAGGCTTGGAGTTGATTCCTTGGGTTAATGAGAATGGAGTGACTTGATACCTTATCATTACTCTTTGCAATCTGGCAAATCCTCTGTTTTCTAGCACGGCAAAGAACCAACATTTCTCTCTCCTGCTTACCACAGTCATTCAAGGGCTTGCCTGTTTGACTGAGATAATGGCAGCTCCTGTCAGTAAAACCTGCCACAAAAATAAAGTTTAGCTCCACTCGCCCTTCTCTGGAGAGGAATTTTCCTTTTAAGAAAATAGAGGGCTTGATCCTTCCTGGGATGCCTCTGCCCCTGCTGACCTTCACACTCCTTCATACAGGGCTGGAGAGAATCCACTTGAGCTCCTATAGAGGAGAAACAGCACTCTCATGATCCCATCTATATCTCAGCGAGGACCTTGACTTGGGAACAGAAAGGATGCTTTTACCCTTTGCATCAGTTGTAAATGCCACCTTGTCACCAGCCTGTGAAAAGTCTGATAGGGAATGTAACAAATGGTGACCACGCATAGACAGACTCTTGAGGGTTTTTGAACCCTGGATCTTGATCCAGCACTAAAAAGATGAGCCTTTCTTATATGACCGAAAGGAGTAAATGTCAGCAAGTAGCAGGTTCTTATATTCCACGTGATCCAGCGACTACAGGGACGTGTGATGGCATGCACCAGGGCATTGTCAGAAGGAAGTTACTAGCTTTTTGTCTGACTCTCTTTCTTGTACTTGGATGGCTGATAAGGACATGTACCCCTGCAGATAATAATTTACACATATATAGTAGGGTTTTTTTTTACAGAGATCTCAAGCCTCTTTGCAAATATTAGGGAATTAAACTCCACAAACACCATACTGACATAGGAAATTATTAATATCCCCATTTTCCTGTTGGAGAAATCGAAGCACGGAAGCATTTAGCAATTCACAAAGGATCCTGGAAGTCACGGACAGAGGCTGGAATAGATCCCAAGAGTCCTTCCTTTCAGTAACTTGCCCTCAGTAACAAGGAAACATATTCTATGGTGTGTCACTATAGAGAATTGGTAACACTACATCCCCTTATTCCCACGGGGAAACTTTGCACAATATTGTAGTTTTATCTCTTTGACATTTATTTGGATGATTTCTTAGCAGAGTTCTTTTTAAATGACTGTATATGTGTGCATGCACTTGTGGATTGGAAGCGGGGAGCTTTGGAAGTGCTAGATTTATATAAAATGATATGAAGATTTTATGAAGCTGAAGCCTGAGACCCACAGCGCCTTGGAAACATTTCCTTCTTCACTAGAAAACTATACACGTGATGTTTCAGGACATCCATTAATAATCACTGCTCTTGGGAGAACCTTGCTATCAAAGCATTTGGTTGGTTTATTAGTTTACAGGTTATTGCTTCTCTGCTTTGGATTTCTCTCTTGTATCTTTATGCTTCTGAGTATGTGCTGTGGGCTGGAACCTCAGGTGCTGCTGCTCTCTCTTCTGTACAGCCGAGGCGAGGGGAGAAATTATTTTGCCTCCCTGATGCTGAAGCTGCCCAGAAGTCATTTTAGCTTCTGCCATAAACAAGTTAGAGTGGAACAATCCCCTAAGGACCACTCTGCTGGACAGTGTATGCCAGAGTGCCCTGCGCCCTTCCATCCCCAAACTATTCCCTGTGAGGGAAGGGGGAAGAGCAGGTGGTGTAGAACTGGCAACCTTAGCTTCATGCCACCAAGGGCTTCCCTTCTGCCAGGGGACCCCCAGCTGCTCCTTTAGGGAAGCTTTCCAACTATCCTGGGCTGGTGAGCACAGGAAAGCAACCAGAGCTCTCCTATTCCTTCATCCAAGCAGTTCATTCTCCAGCATTAATGCGTGTCATGGCTCCGACTGCTCTTTCCCACTCTGAGAGCACACACAAAGCCAGGGTACCTCGTTCCCCCTCTGACATGCAGGTTGTGGCTGTCTCCAGTGCTGAATGAGCAGACATGCCATGGGCTTCCATGCATTTGACCTGGCTCTAGTGCTGGAGGGCTGCAGAGCTGTAACAGCCAAACAGAATTGGCCCAAGGCAAACATTTCTGCAGGCAGCACCCCGCAGGATATGCCGAATACTACTCCCTTCCCTGACAGAGGGGGAGCTAGTTGTGCTCTGCAGGGCTCCTGCCACAGGACATTGGGTAACACGGTCCCGTCATGCCTTAGTGCAACTGTTCATGTCCCCTTGGGACAATGGAGCACCCCCACAAACCTGTACAGATGGTGGCCATCCTATGGAGCCAGTGAGAGCTCCTTCATAGGGACAGTGGAGAGAAGTAGATCCCTTGGATCAGACCTGTTCTACCTATTAGGCATCTAAGTAGCACTTTGATCTCTAAGTGTGACCATATCCCACTTTGCTCAAGTCCCCAATAAACATTAATGTATCTAGTTTTCTAGTGCACCTTTATCTCAAGACTAAGTCACTAAAAGTGGGGCGGTTCCAACTACCTTTTGCATTAAGGGTTTTTCAAGGACTTGAAGGGGACTATATTTAAGACACCCAGTCCCATCAGATACCTAATATGTGAAATAGGATCTTGCCCCTTGCATCCTGAGGCCTCATGGTTTACAGGGACCAGAAGGAGAGGTTGGAAGCAAATGGGCAGAACAGGTAGCATTCAAAATGTCTCCCAGGACCCACTGCTCTAAAAGTCAGATGGTATCACGGGATAGATGCTAGTGGGTTGGGTGTGAGACTTGGTGTCCCAGTGTGGTCACGAGGATTGTAGTCACGAGACCACTCCTGCACAGAATTTTTGTCTCAGATGCCCTGGCCTAGTGGCACAATCAACACCACAGGCACCCTGAACATTGTGGGGAGATGGGCGCCAGCACCGATTTGATTTGGTGGTGTGGTCAGGATTTAACTGGTGCTGGGGGAATCTGAGACCAAACTCCTTCTGTCTCAGCGATAGGGTTTACCTTGTGGGGTCAATGCAAAGGCTTAGCTTGGGGCCAGTGCTCTCTACTAGACAACCGTACCAAAAATGTAACTATGCCACAAGGGGCTCTGACCAGATCAGTGCCCCATGCAACTGCATCGTTTGTAATGCTCTAATGCCAACTTTGCACTGCCTTCCAGGACTCCAGCCTAGGAATATCAAGGTATGCGGATGTCTTGCTCTAACTATGACTGTGGGACTTCAGCACTGAGTATTGCAATGTGTGTCTTGGCTCTTGGAGTGGTCTCCGGAGTCCTGTGTTGGGGGACTATGTGATCTGTACAATGCATGGGAAGAATAAGGCTCCTAAGTATAGGATTCTAGACGACTTGTGCGCTGATCAGGCACCTGCCTAGGGCTAGCCAATAGGAAATCCCTTTGGGTCCAGCCTCTTGCATCCACCTGTATATTGAAGGTGGTCTCTGTGCTTAATGGGAAAAGGAGGGTTGAGGGGATACAATCTCTTTAAACCTCTTAGACACCAAGCTGGAATTTCTCACACGAAAATCAATGCCATTTTTCTATTTTCTCTTCTGGTGGCTGTGAAACATTTTTTTTCCCACCTGCTCTCTCTCCTTACAAAACTTGTTTTATTTCTTCAGGTGACTCCGGGCTGGGCTGCCACTGTCATCCTTCATATGATGTAATCCTTTCTCCAGGTTCTCCGAGAGCGGTCTGGGAGAAGTTTGCCCTGAAACATCAAGAAAAGAACGCAGTGGGGCTAGGTCTAAACTTGTTAAACTGAATTAACCCTCCTACCACATGAATCTAGCCTGCTCCAGTCTTTCTAATCTTGTTCAGAGTTTGGGATAATTTGTTTAGTTGTGCTGATCAGCTGGAGGTTAATTCAATTGGACTTCAGTTATTTATTCATGCCCGGATTTGCTAAGTGTCACAGCAGATACATGAGGTCTCCATTACGGTTATGAGACAGCTTCATTAGTGTGACAGAGAGCTGGTCGGGATCACTTCCTCCCCTCGCTCCAGTGGCTGGATACCAGGGTTTGCTCCAGCAGAAGGAATCTTTATAGCCTTCCCCTTTCATTTGTATCATAAGTGGATGCTGTTGGTTATTGTGTATTGATTATAGCAGAAAAACACACTTCCCCACATTCTGATTGGCTGGGAAGGTCTAGCCAGTAATCTGTTTGAGGACCCTCAGTAGCTTCCTAGCCCTATATTTTAAATAGTGAAGTAAAAATGCAAATATCTTTTTAAAAGGCATTTATATTAATAACTTGGGCTTATATAGTGCCTTTCATCTCAGAGAGTCCTGTGGCACTTTCAAAATCACTTTACACATCAGTGAAATGCAGCCAGCTCAGGGATGGAACATGGTAGCTCTTGAACAGTACATAACAATAAGCAAAACCAAGGAAGAACATAGTATGCAAGCTGGAGGAACTCAAGTTGGCAGAATTTTGCTAATCAAACTGGACCAGAGCCAAGACACTAGGATTACCTCTTGTAAAAAGTGCTACTTGGCTACAAGTGCTCATACAACCTTGGGTAAAATTTTATTGAAAAGAAGACTTCTTTGCCTGTACACTGCACTGGAACATTGGTTCAGAGCTGTCTCAGTGAATTTTTCCATTGTGCTAAGAGTGAGATCCATGAACCAAGGGAGAACAGTTAATGAAGCTTCTTGTCCTGCTACAGGGAACATCAAAGAATCGGTCAGTACTGCAGAATGACGTCCATTTAAAAAAATAGTGTATTTATGTCTCCTATCTATGCAAACATGGCAAAGTAAATGCCTATAAATTAGCTTTCCTGTAGTTTACAGAAAAGGTCAGATGGTGGAGAAAATGTTCGTTATAGAGAAGGCCCTGGACAAAATTCCTTGTTTTATACAGTAGGGTAAACGTGCAGTAATGCTGATGCTGACAGGACAGTTATTCCAGATTTGCCCTCATCCAAACAAGAACACAGTCTGGCTTCCCACCCTCCTTTTTAACTGTTTCATTTGACCCCCAGCCCTCAACTCCCTGTGTCATTGGCTGTCTTGGATGACACCATCAAGCATTAGTGCAGGCCCTGGGCAGTACTACAGTGCTGTGTCCTGAGGATTAATGGCACTATTAATCATCATATCTTCTCTTGCTCTCCATTCTTCAATTAAATCATAAACCTGTGCAGAGGAGCAGCCATTAACTTTCAAGGAGTGAGAAATGTTCCCACATGTTTGGCCTTCTTCGGAAAACACTGTCATGGTTACACACCGTGAAATATGGTTTCAAACAGAACAATGCTTCAGAAAGCAGCCGGGACCCGTGTTACAGCTCAGCGTCCTTTTACAAAGTGTCTCTGGGCTGTGCTGAGGGACACTGCAACGATCCACAGTGCTCCCCACCTGCATACATGACACCCCAGAATTGTCGAGGTGTAGCCGCTTGCAGGTGGCACTGGGAGCATGCCAAGAAGCTTGCTGTCTTAGGCATACTTCTAGGCACATGTCCAGCAGTGCTAGAAGACAGGGACGTTACATCTGCCTCACAGTGTAATGTGCAGGGGGTTGGCATGCTGTGTATTCCAGCAGTGCTGCCTTGTGCAGTTTGGAGGCACCACGGCCATACCCTTAATGATCTGGAAGCCAAATTAGAGCTTCTGCTTATCCATCAAACACAGAGCTTAGGTCTCTGCAGTGCCGGCGTCCTTGAGATGGCACAGTAAGTGTCTTATCTTTGTCACAGGGTGGAACTGGTCCTTTAAGCAGCTGGGAGGTAAACTGCACCTGTGCCAGACTTGGCCTTGTTCCCAGGTGAAAGGAATGAGGCCAGGGATCCTGGGGTGGGAGTGGGTGATTCAGAACCAGGCTTACCAGAGCAATAGCAGGTAGTCTGTGTGTGGCCTCTTCATTGGTCAAAGCTTCATTGGTCAAAGGACTTGAGACTGGCTAAGACGGCTGATGGTGACTCCAGAGCTCCTGGGAAGAAACTTGGGAGCTGAAGCTCCAGTTTGAGCCCTGCTGGAGGATGGTGAGCTTGGCAGCAAAGCTAGAAGCAAGGGGATGTGGAGGCAGCGGATGGACCTGCAGCCTGGATGGTGAGTCCATGTTCCAGTCTCCATTTTCAGTGCTGCTTTTCTGATAAGGTTACACCCAGCCTGCGCCCAAATCGGGGAGGCAGACTTGCGAGATGGAGACACTTGTTTGTGAGCTGCTGTTGGAGTGAGTCTTCCATCCATTTGGTTGAGGTCCTTGGAGAGAAATGACTTTTAGTTGCTGATGTGCTGGACTTGATGCGGTGCTCAAAAGGTGCAAAGTTGTTTCCCATTATTGGTCCCAAATTGTCCACCTCCTGTACCCAGAGACCCCCTGCATATATGCGTTTGCTGCTCCGTTCTGGTAACACATCTCAGCCCCGATGGTGCCATTGCCTGCTGTTCTAGTAATAGGTCACTGCCCAGCTTAGGTCCAAATGCTTCTCTTATGAGACCTGCCCTTGTCTTTCATAGTAGCAGGGTCAGGATGCCTTATTCCCTGTTAATCACATCAGTGTGTGAGGTGACTTGGGTTCTGTTGTGACCAGTACAAACTAAACTGAGGCTGCCACCAGCTTCTGCTCTGAAGCCAGGTCTCTGGTGGGGGAAAGGGCTGTGCAGTGAGTCTGTTACACCCCCAAGCTCAGCACCTTGCCTTTAAGCTTCCATGATCCAGCTGCTTTTTTTTCTCAGCAAGATGAAGGGGAGAGTAGGAAAGGAGCCTAGGCTAATGAAGGTGGCATTGAGTATTTATGCAAAAGGAGCTCACAGGCAGGGCACACTGCTCCTCCGTGAATCTGTAAAATTCCACTAGGGAGCCTGTGGATGAAGCTTATTTTATTGCCCATCTCGGAGATACAGAAAGAGAAATCTATCCCTGTCAAAACCCCATTGACGTCACTGCTCCTGTATTAGAGGCAAATGTAGCCAAGGCTGTTTAGTAAATGGAGCTATTCTCCCTCCAGTTTGGACCAGAGACTTCTCAGATTTTCCTCTTGCTGTGCAAGCCACCAATTCTCCCATCTTCTTGAGCCCAGCCTCCCATTCCTCTACTGCAGCAGCTTTGACTTGCGGATGAGCCAAATTTTGATTCCCCTAAGAATTTCCCTCATTTAGTATTCCTCTTCCCTGCACTACATTATACATTTTCTTTTCGCTTACAGGTTAAGCAACACCTGGGATTCTTAAAGCCTCCCTTGACTTTTACTTTGACCATCCATGCTTGAAAATTGAAATATTTTTACTTCTTTTCGGATTTGAGAGTTATTTTAATAATGCTGGATTTCTAAAAGACAACACACATGGGAATGATCGCTTCTCTGTAGATGGAAAGAGATGGACTTGCAGAGAGGGCTGGACATATTATTTGCTACACAGCTCCTCCCCCCCTCGCATTTGCTGCAATGGGTCAAATTCCTTTCATAGGAGAAGATGTGGTCCGAGGGCTGTAGGAAAAGCACACATTGCCACTTTTTCTAGCCCCTGGCATGTTGCATATACTTGTAACACTTCCCCCCCCCCCTCCCATTTTGAAACAATTTTTTATAAAAGGGGTTGAGATTTGACCCAAAAGGTTCTTGGGGATTTATTTTAACTCCTGATTTGGGATGAACCCCTTTAATCCCAGTTTTTTTGCTGGCTAGAGAATTCACTTTACCATCAGCCCTGGCAGGGCAATGCAAACTGCAGGCCCCACACCTTAGGAGCTGGCTCAGCATCTTTTCCTCGGAACAGAAATGGGTGTCTTATCCTGCCAGGCTGTGCTCAGATGTCCAGCTACCCACTCGCATTTTCCAATATCCATGAGACACCCAGTCCCCTAGGGAAAGGTGTGCCAAAGTCCTTGCAGGTAGTCCCAGGGAGAAGCGTCTGGAAGCCTTTGTACGCTCAGAAATATAAAACATAATCCTTGGCAGAGGTGCCTTAGAGAAGCAAAACACCTTGGCACGTAGCCATAGGTGGATCTAGCACCCTTTGCAACTAGCCCTTGGGGAAGGCAGGCAGGTGTCCTTGACAGGTGGCTTCAAGGGATGAAGAAACGTATCTTGGCAGGTAGCCTGCAGGGGAAACTTTTTTGGCAGATGGCCTTTGTGGAAAGCAAGCTCTCTGCGATTTGCCTTCAGAGAAAGGGAAGTGAGAGCCAGTTACCTTGCCCCTTCTGCCAGATAATAAGCCTCCTTTATCCCACTCCCCGAACACAAAGCTCCATTTCTGTGGGACTCCCTGGGTACTTACCTGACTTTGTGTTCACAGGAGACCATTGCACAAGTTGCTTCATGCTTTTCTCTGCCTAGTCTTAAATGCCCATTTAGTATTAACACACTCCTTTCCCAGAGGCTGCCTTCTAGGAAAGACCTTTAAAGTGCTTCCCAAGGGGAAAGGAGGCCAGCACTTCTGGATGATAGTCCTTCCAGCAAGGGAAATAAGCACAACAGGCAGGCAGCTCTCAAATGACTGAAAGCCATTGGCATTGGAAAGAGCTGGCTGGGTAAAGGGACAGGTGACATCTGGGTTGAGGGGCGGGAGTGGGAGTGAGTTTGAATGGAAACAGATATACATACAGCTTCCTGCCGAGGTTATAAGCAGCAGCTAGAGTAAGATTCAGCTCCTAGGGCTGGGTTTTGAATCTTGCTTTTCAGACAGCAGGCTGAGGTGGTCTCGGGAATGCATCTATAAGGGATGAACTATCCATCAGTCACTGAGCCCAGGGAGGTGCTTTGAGCTGTCCCACAGAGCAGGCTTTGCCCAGGCAAAGTCCAGGGGCACTCAGCAACTGGAAAAGTGCTGGAAGGCTTTTCTTCTTCTCCTAGTCCATTCAGGGTGGGTCAGTTGTTGAGATGGGGAAATATTTAGCCGCCCCCCCCCCCTCCATTTTTGACAATCTTGCTGCAAACATCTCTATAATAATGTTCCTAACAGAGTTGTCTCCATGAAAAATGCTAACTGTAGATTGGGAAGAGAGTTCAGCTGAACTGTAAAGTTCAGTAGGATCCTCCCAAGGGAAGGATGCGCAATCTCTTTCCAATAGCAGCAGCTGACATCCTAAATGGTGAAGAACTTGCTCCTGACCTATGAACTAGCACAGCCCCCATGGAGTTGCACAGCATGAACTGGGACAAACTTAGACCCTGCTTTTCAAAAAGAGGTCAATGGAGGCTTTAGAGCTGAAATGATTTAATATCTAGCTGTTGCACACAAACAGTTCGACCTTCCTCCTCCCTCGGCCAAGGGGAAGATGGAGGATTTTAATATCTTTAGGTATTTTGTGCAGCTTCCAAGTCCCAAATCTTATTCTGCACAATCGAGGAGTATTCAAGCATTTCAAGATTCATAGAAGCTATTGCAGAGGTGGGGAGGGGGAAACTTGTCTGAATGGACAGTCGGAGGGGGCAATATGTGAGTGGAAGCTGCAGAGAGTCCAGTATTGTCCCTGTCCAGCTGGTGAGCGCTGCTTGTCCTGCTTCTGCAAGGCAGTCTCCATGTGGCTAGGTTAGCACTTCAAGCCTTTAGCTGTGTAGCCCAGGTACACGCAGGGGTGTGCCCTGCCCGCAAGTGGAAGGGATGGTGGGGGTCAAGCAAAAGTGCTGTGAGAGCAGCATGCCACTGGGGAGCAGTTTCCCCTTTTCTCTATAGAGCCAGGCTGGAACAAAGCACTTAACTATAAACAAATGTATTGCTGTACAAACATAAATATGAATAAGAGACATTAAATATTTATAGCAGAATTGGTATGTGACACTATATTCAGTAACCTGCAACCAACACATTGTACCACTTTGGGGGACTGCAGAACAGAACAGGTAACTGGGAACTCAGTACAGGTGATCTATAGT